TCATCTCAGAATACTTTCCCAGGAGGGAAGGATTTGGTATCCTTTCAGGCATATTTCTGTGTATAACATACATAGTCATATATAATATATACATATTTATAATTTCATTGTATATATGGGATTAAACCGTATGTGCTTTCCTTGCAGTTAGTTTATTTTATAAGTTTTGGGAATTTTGCAATGTTAATCCAGTTTCTAAAGGGCTCCATCCTTTTTGTTTGTTTGTTTTTGGTACTGGGGATCGAACTCGGGACCTTGTGCTTGCAAGGGAGGTGGAGCAACCACTGAACTAAATCCTCAGCCCAATTCCATCCTTTTTTTAAAGACTGCTAGGCAATATCAGGCTCCCGCTGTATGGCCAGAATATGGTTCATCTGTCTGCCCTTGTACTGATGATGTTGTACAGGAGTTTTTTAGACTTATAAATGTGTCTCAATGAACATCTTGGCACATGCTTCCTTGGGTATGCAAACTGTTCTCTAAATTAGGTACCAAGAAAAAATTGTCAGACAGAATACTATTCACATTCTACATTTTAAGAGATATTTAATATATATTCCAAACTAGTCAGGCCCTTTAGCAGAATAGCAGAATTAGATGGTGATGAAGAGCCACACTGCCTGGGTTCAAATCTTAGCTTTGTCACATACTAGCTTATTTCCCCTCTGCCTCAGTTTCTTTATCTATGAAACTGAAACAGTAGTAGTATTTACTTGATTTGGCTGTTATGAAAATTAAGTGAGCCCATCTGTATAAAGCTCCTTTGAATAGCATAGTAGGCATTGTAGGAGTACTAGCTGTTGTTGCCAGTGGCTTTGGTTTTAACATAAGCAAAATTACACACAAAAAAATGATGTCTTTCTCTTAAATCAATAGAAAGTAAGTAAAATGCTATAGGCAAGTTCTTGGAACATTTAAACACCCAAATATGCCAAGTTTTCTTTGGCTAATCTGCCCTACACAGATTAGCCAGTGACCTGGTTGCTGTCAGCAAGAAGCCTGCTGTCAGCGCAAGGGATCAGCCGACATGCAGAGCAGGGAACCTGCTCTTATAGACCTGGCAGGAAAGCCAGCACTCAGAGAGCCTTCTCACTGGGGACAGGAAGGATTAGTTCTGATTACCCAGACTATTTCAGTGGCAATTGCGTTCCTGCATTTGCCATCTGGGTTACTGTAAGTTTGGATACCACATCCACTGTCATGTAAAACTCAGTCTCTTGTTAGGGAAAGGACCCTCCCCAAAGATGGATTCTGGATATTTGGTGGGGGACAGACTTCCTAGGGAAAGACAATTAAAACATTTTGATGCCCACCAATTGTCAGTCCCAAGGGTAGGGCACTTCATAGTCATGACCACATTTAATCATCACAGCAAAGCTCCCAGATTGTTCTTTCCTGCTTCATAGATGATGACCTGGAAGGTTAAGGAACTTTAAAGGGTTGATATAACAAGCCTATTTCTCATGGCCTGCTAATGGCAGAGCTAAGATATGGGTCCAGATTTGCTGGAACACAAATGTTGTGCTCTTTCTTGGGTATGATCTTAGAGTTGTATGTGAGAAATAGAAGCAAGAAAATAATGCACATGGAAAAATACTCAACATCATTAGTAATTAAAGAAATCAAATTAAAAACCACAATGAGATACCACTCTATACTCACGAGGGTGGCAATAATAGACAACCAAAAAATAACGAGAATATGGAAAAGAACAAGAACCCCCATACATTGCTGGTGGGGATGCAAAAATAATACAGACATTTTGCAAAACAATTTGGAAGTTTCTTAAGAAGTTAAATACAGATTTGTCAAATGACCAACAATTCTACTCCTACACATCTTACCAAGAGAAAAAAAATATATCCATGCAAAGACTTGTACATAAACATTCTTTGCAAGATTATTCAGAGTAGCCAAAAATTAGAAACAACCTCACTCTCCAACTAGTGAACAGATGAACAAAAGGTGGTATAGCCATGTATTTGGGCAATAAAAAGGACCAAAAGGTATGGTATGACATGGATGAACCTCCAAAAACTCTCATTATATTCAGTGAAAGAAGCCAGACATAAACAACCACGTATCTGTGATTCCATTTATATGAAGTGTCCAAAGAAAGCAACAGAGACAAAAAGTAGAGGAGTGGTTGCTGGAGTTGGGAGCAGAAGAGAGAACACAAATTAAAAATAAATGTGCATTAGGGGTCTTTTGCAGGTGGCAAAAATGCTCTAAAACTGATTAATGATGACGGTTGTGCATTTTGGTAAATTTACTTTAAAAGATCATTGCAGTGAACACTTATGGTAAATGCATGAATGCACAATATTATGCCTCAATAAAGTTAGTTTTTAAAATATAGACGAGATAAACACTAAGCATCTACGGTATTTGCTTGTGATATCACATTGCTTATGACAACAAAAGATTGGAAGCAATCCATTAGTGAAACTAGTTACAGTATATCTGAACAATGGAATCTTTTTTTCCAGCAACAATGGTCATTAAAAAGGGATAAAACAGGAGCTGGGGATTTAGCTCAGTGGCACCGTGCCTGCCTCGCAAGCGCAAGATCCTGATTTCGATCCCCGGTACAAATAAAAGGGGGGGAAGGAATAAAGCAATCATGGGTTGGAAGGGGTTAAGGGAGAAGGGAGTAAAGGGATTAAAAATTACCAAGATGTGTTATGTGAAGCTGGGTACAGGGGCTCATGGTTGTATTACTAGCACTCTGAGAAGCTGAGGCAGGAAGA